ACAGTAGTTAAAGCATGTGGATCAATTGTGTGTTACAGAATTTGATTATTGGGGAGATTCCTTTTAAAAACTAAATTAGTTAAGATAAAAAAATGCATATAATGACTCAAGAAAATCAGTTTTAATTATTGGGGCCATTTTTACCTACCTGTCATATGGGGCCATTTTTACCAGGGCCATTTTTTCCGGGGCCATTATTTCCGGGGCCATTTTTTCCGGGGCCATTTTTTCCGGGGCCATTCTTACCGTACACCTAAAATAAGAACCAGTAAAACCAGTAACTTCTGTAATGTACGTATTTCCTTCATCCAAGGTCAGACACAAGTTTTTCAGCAATATTTTTGTCGTTACTGTCTAAACCTGACATAATTCCAAGAAGTTCACTTCCTTTTGTTTTTATCTCCAGGATAGATGGGTGCATTCATCCATGTAATGACTCATGTAAAATAGAAGAATGGCTACAATAAATACTTAATGAAGGTGTCATAAGTACAATGCAAATCATACCAATACAGGTTACCGAATGCATGTAAAATTCCAAGAAACAGGAAATATAACATTACATTTGAATTATAAATGCTAACAGGAAATATACAGCTTTAAAACTAGTACCAAAACACTCTTGGCTCAGTAACTGAGTGGTGATAAGCTTCTGACAACTGGTTTATACACAAAAATGTTGTGATAGAAGTATACAGAATTTCAGTTTTTATTGTTTGTATACAGTTTGGATATGTTGTACAGTATTGGAATCATATGCTTAGTCCTGGTACTTCCTGCACAGGGCACTCCATCCTTTGGTAGTGTTTCTATTGGATCTGCTATAATAAATGAAGGAAGTGAAACTGATCTTAACTGTCCAGTGGTGAACCTGACTGATGACTACTCAATCTCTTGGTATAGAGAAACAAAAACTGGTGATAGGACAGTTATTTACAGGGATGGTATGCTGATAAACAATGACCTAGGTAGAGAGGCAGAAGCTTACACAATCCACAGTATGAATTATGTAAGAATAAGACAGGTGAGAGGTCGTGATCTTGGTCATCTGCTTAATGGTAACAATTACATCTGTGAAGTAACTCATAATGGTACAGGTGAGGCAGTGCTAGTATCAAGTGGTCTCATCCTGGTAGCTTTCTACTCTCCATCCTCTTTGTATCCAATCTGTCATTCAAGTGAATTTTCATGTAATTTGACCGGCTCAAATGTCACTATCTCTTGTTATTCTGAACTTGGTAATCCACATGTCCAACTACAATGGTCAAGGAATGGAGAAGAAATTGAAAACCTAACAACAATCACAATTTATTCTTACATATACTTGAATTATACATTTATTCTTGAAGCAGATGACTTAGGAAGTAACTTTAATTGTACTAATGGAATACAAAGCTGCAATTTAGCATCTGACCAAGTAAGTGCAGAAGGATGTCCAACAACGCCTCTTGACACTGGTATGTATCAATCATCTACCACAGTTACTGTCCTTCCAACTGATTCAGAGGTGCATGACACAGGTATGCATCAATCATCTACCACAGTTACTGTCCTTCCAACTGATTCAGAGGTGCAACCTGCATCTAGTAAAATAGGACTACAAACTGTGGTGGGGGCTAGCATTGGAGCTGTTTTATTCTTAGCCTTCTGCTTATTTGTTGCTGTATGTTTCTACAGAAGAAACTCAAAACAAGGAGCAACTAACACGTATCAACATTCTACAGATGAGGGAGTTGCAAACAACCAAGAGAAAAACATCAGAAGTGAATTTACAATTGAAAATGCATCATATACTGAATATGCCCAATCTACAAAGCAACCAAAATACCAATACCAACAGGATTATCAAAATCTGTCTCGTTCGGCTACAAAGCCTTCGAATGAAGATATGAACAGAGATTCTGCAGAATCTGGGACCATTGACAACTTTATTTATTATGAGATATGAATGAGAGTTAGAAATGGTTGAAAATGCCAAACCATATGAAAGAAATGGAACTGTTCTTAATGACTGGATAATGTTTGGAATGGAATGTTCAAGGCAGTGGCAAATGCCTATTAGGCCAAAAAGAAAAAAATGTTGTTTGCCATCCAGCGCCCTCCCCTAGCTCACTGAAAAATAGGAGCAGCGTTCCAAATTTTTTAAATTTTTTTAAAATTTTTTTTAAATTTAAGAAAGTGGTCTTTATTTTTCTCCATTTTGCACATGAAAGTTGTCTAAATTTTGTGTCTAATGTAAGGTATCGCTATTCTAGGCCTAAATTCATTACAAAAATATTTTATTTTTATTTATTTATTCTGGTATATGGTAAAATACAAAAAGTAGAACGAGTCTGAAATTATTGTAGTACAAAAATTCAAGATTACAAACAACAAAAAATTCAAAACACCAAATATATCTCATATATATTGATTATGGGTTATTTTTATTGAGTCTGATGAATACCCTTTGCAAAACAAATAGTGAGACAGCCATATTGCAAGCATTTAATATGTTAATTTTGGTGACAGGAAAAAAAAAATAACTGCGCCAGCCCCTCCTATACAAATTTCCAGCATTAAAGGGCAAAGAAACAATTTTGTTTGGACCTTATACT